CAGAATTCCATTTTGACTTCATAACTGTATGTAGACATAGTAAATCATGACCCCATTGTGACATTAATTCTTTATAGTTATCCTTTGTATGTGCGTACAGTAGCTACAACTCTTGAATTCTAGAAGTAACATTCTATAAAAATAACCAGTACACAAAATAGACCAAATCTAACCCGAAGGTAACAATAGAGACATTCCAGCAAGAATGGATTTGACCCTGAAAGCTTAATTTCCAGGTCATTAATAAATTAACTCAGCCTGAAACTGAAGCTTGGAAGTTTGAAGTAAGCTATATCAAATGTATATATATCATATACATATGATATATCATATCATGCAGGAAACAGATTTCAGCTGAAGACAAGCTGCATTGTATACACCTACATTCTGAATTCAATACTGTAATCTCCAATGTGTGTTTGTTCTGGCAATTCTGAGTTCCTGTAATTTGAGATCGCATATGAAGTGACATTGACGTTACAGCTTGCTTAGTAATTTTTATTAGATCCAAAGAAGTGACTATATATGCAGAGGACTTGGAGTTAGAGAAAAGAAAAAAAATAAATTTATTTACTCAGTACTTAATATATAATAAAATAATCATCAATTTCAGTGAAAGTGAAGATTATTCATTTGATATTACTTATCTACATAATGAAATGTTGACAGAAGAAAAGAGGGGAAATCTTTAACCAAATTCTAGGGGTATACAATTAATGTTAAAATTTAACTGTTCGCTAAAATAGATCCTTTCTACCAAATCATGATGTAAAATGATTTTTGATAAAAGAGAAAGGAAAGTGACAGGTTAGTAAGCCAGTATTTATATTTCAACTTGCTATGTTCTCTTCATCATTTGCAAAATGCATCTGAGCAGTAGTGATAAGAATATAAAAAGTTAAAAAGAAAAAAATCAATGAGAGCGTCTCTTAGAGTATGAAAATATGATGAAGCTGTGAAAGCACCATATATTCTAGCAGGACCTTACTCTAAGCTGCACCTGCAAATGCACTGAGTGTAACTTGTGATATTTTGAAACAGTGGGCACAATGATCCATGGAAAATTCCTTTTTCTGTTTCATATGGAATGGCATTCAACAACATCATCTCATAGCAGAAAAGAACAGGTAGGAAGAGTTTTTCAGCATATACAAGCAAACATAAAAAGACACCTGAGTGTCTTGGCAAGAGCTTTATAATCATTATTCCTCTGCTGAGAATTCCTTTACACCATTTTAGTTACAGCTGAGCAGAAATGTCTTACAGTAGACCCAGAGAAATCAGATCAGTATTGTGCCATTTTGCTTTTCACAAAAGAAACAGAAGCAGTCAAAAGGAGAGCCTGGGTCTTGAGGTAGAAGATCTACCTGGAAAATGCAGATGTTGGCTACAGTAATGAACATTTTAATATTTTACCTGCACTAAACTCTGATGACGATCAAACATAATTAGGTAATGAGAAAAATTCTACTACTTATAAGACCTCTGCCAATTTGAACAAAACAAGTTCTGTACTCCCAAAGCAAGTGGGTGATCAGATCTCTTAGATCCTATGAAACACAGCAGCGCTCCTATTGAAAAACGCTGGATGGAAAACAAAACAAAGGAAACTAAAATAGAAAGAGAGAGGTGGCAAATCTGTTCCTATGTCCTTCCATTTGTCTAATGGGAATGGTAAGATTGTAGTTGAGTATGAGAGTACACACAAAGGACTCTAAATTTTACACTCAGAATACTCTAGTGTCAAAATCAATGATATTGGTGGTTGTTTAGATGGACAGTCCATGCCTTAAGCTGAAATTGGTAGAGAGAAAGCCCTTAGAAGCTGAAAGGACTGAAGCAGAGGAGCTTTCTTCTTCCTCCTGGGCATCTCCATAATTCCAATTCAGTGACACTACTCAGGGTTGAGAAAATAAATTTTCAATGAATTTTCATCAAGACTATCAGGCAGTCAACTACTCCAAACTCCATAACTTGTTATTTGTAAGGCAAACAACACTCAACTAGACATTCAGTCCAGAATGGTTTACAGAAATTCCCTTCTATACCAAATAGTTAATCAATGAGAGATCATAACTGTTACCAATATCTTAGACTCCCTCACTCATTATATTTACTAATTGAAAGTGCCCACTAATCAGATAGATAGATGGGGAAGCTGAGTATAGCAGGTCACATCTTTCTGTGACCTTTGATCAAAGTAGCCCCCACTGTTCCCAGCAGTGATCTCAGCCTGTTTGGAAAGAAACAGTAAATGAGACCCACCCACCATGAACTTAAATCAGTTTTTCAAGGAAAATGAGGGAATTAATTTCAGTTTTAAAGAAATTCACATTTTCAAATAGACTGCTGGATTATTAAGGCTTCTAGATTAATGAGACTTGAAATAAAAAATTTTACAGCAGTTAAATTTCAACCTAGTCAATACAACAACCGATATAACCTTGCAGAAACAACACATCATTCACTCTATTTTCTTTGTTTACACACTGAAATGTAGGGTTTTTTTAAACCTTGACTCACAAGCAATAAGTGTGTCAGTTTCCCTGGTGAAAGGCTAGAATCTCCTAGGTTAAATGTATAAAAACCTAGGAAACCAGAAAAAAAGTTTCCTTCTCTCTGAGTGATCTTTCCTTTAGAGTCAGCAAAATCAGAGCTGCTTATTGCTCTCTGACTATTTTATAGGCTCATCTAGATTTTGCTGAATCTTAGTGGAAGTGGTATAGTAAGAAATAAACAATTAGGATTTGTCCTTCTGTTCCAAATATTCCCTAGCTCCTAGGGTGAATCCTTAAAGGCATGAGAATATGTCTAGAATAACTACAGGAGGCTTAGGTTTGTGTAGAAGAGCATAGCACAGATCAAAACAAGGGAAGGTGTGGGGTTTTTTTTCAGCTAGACACATAATTCTCAGAGTTATATTGATAGGATCAGATATAAATAAAATTTATATGGGCAAATACATTCTGTATGTAAAGTAATGGACATTAATAACAAAAAGGCGAAACAGTATCTAATTTACAACTGCAATAATCTTATTATTTTCAAACATGATAGACTCCTAAAAATATATCTTCCAAAGACATTACTAATACCTAGTTGAATAACTATTAATCAGAATGAAAACTGGAAGTATTAAAATCACATTTATAATTAATACTTTTTTTTTATTTGGTAGGCAGGTAGGTAATTCCTCTCTATCAAGTAACTAAACTAAAAAAAAAAAAAATATTAGATGTGGCTGAAATGTCTTTGCAGATTACTATATTACTTTGCATATTCAGTCTAGCTTGATAGATCCTGAATTGTATACAGACATATATCCATACACAGCTGTTTCTCAACTGCAGCCTTGGAGATGTTACCAGCAAATCATCAGCAAAAGCCAGCAGTCTTTTTTTAATTTTTTTGAGATATATGACAGAAAATGTGCTCCTGATTGTGTTTTACACTGGATATATAGTTTTGTTCTCTATTGCTGTTTATATTAAGCATATTCTGAGAACTAGCTTACCTTATAAAAATGAAGCCTATGATTAATCATCAGGTAAAATTAGGGATAAGTTATTGCTCTTCACTGACTTCTTGACCTGTATGCCTATACATGTTTTTCCATCTTCTTAGCTATTTTGTTTGCTCTGAGGAAATGGAAAAAATTTCCTGAAGAAGCTTCATCCTTTGTACATGGTCACCTGGTATATCACTGAACAGTCACTTCTCTCATTAATGGTAATAAAAAAATCTCAAGGGTCCTCATTTTTTCCATAGAGTAAAAATATAGATTTGAAATAAATTTCACATATGAAAAGGGCAGAGCACTAAGAATACAAAGCTTCTGGGGTATAAGACACATTTTGCACTCTGCTGTGATGGTTTCATCAAACTTAGCTTGCTTGAAAGGAAAAAGAATGTGTGCTGAAGTCTTAGATCTTTGACTGTAAAAGAGTTTAATCGGGAAATTAGGCACAGATGGAAAGCTGTAGTCACGTCCATTGGCTTACTGCTTTGCTTTTAAAGCACCGCTTGTAGCATTCAGGTGCTTTCTAGTTTGGGGAAAGTTGAGCCTTCCAGTCTCTTGGGTAAAAATATCTACAAGGCATGAGATGACTGATAAAATAGAGACGAAGTTCAAATTGGACACTATCTTTTCTGAAAGTTAGTGGGCTTGCATGAGTTTGCTTTCCTCCTGATTGGCAAGGATACTCACTTGCTAACATAAGCTAATATTCAGGTCGTTAAATATTTACTAATAAAAGTAATAAATGTAAGCTCTTTTTAAGCAGAAATATCACTAATTATGTTAACTGTAATGTGGTTGTTTGTTTACAGAAATGAAAGGTATTCTTTAGAAGGATAACTGTTATTTTTTATTTTACCTTGCAATGACTGTCTGGTTTGACATATTTGTAAATGAAGGTTATTTTGCTTTCTTGAGAAAAAGCAGCCAATAAGTTCCATGATCAATCTGTTAAAATATCTAGAATCAGCAATTCAGCACATGAACTTGTCACCATATCTCACTTATCAGAGCTACAATATACCAGCTGAATGACGTCAATGTGTTTGTGGGCTGAAAGGAAACGAGTTTTGTATAGAGGGATTTGTTAAAATGTAGAATTATACACTTTTCACCTTAAAAAAAAAGGAAAAAAGGACAAAACACTCTATATATGATTTTTTTTTTTTATTTATGGAAACTTCATTTACCTTTGGTCTTTTCATCTGGGAAATGTTTTACATTTTCTCAAGATTTTAGTGCTGACCACTCTCAAATAGATGAAAAATCAAAGCAGAGTATATGCAGAATACGAGTCTCAATAAGCCTGTTTGGGTATAGAAGGTGTGTATTTGTGAGTTCATAACATATACTTAATACGTATTCACAGATCACATCTCCAGCATCAACAGTTTAACACACCTGATATGTCTTCTTATTGTTTCAAAGGATAAGTAAATACTTTCATTCTTAATCAATTCTGTTTATCTGTATGTACTTCCAGCTAATTCAAAGTATCAGTGCAGTGGATCAAGACGACTCAGCAGAAGGTCATCATTTTTACTTCTCATTGGCTCAGGAGGCCACAAACAACTCACATTTTACTGTCAAAGACAATCAAGGTAGTGTCATTCATGTAGCCCTTTAAGACCTTCCTTATGAAAGATGCATGCTTCTAGCAGTCCTCATATCACTGATTTTATAAAAATTTCCAGTTAAATAGAAATTGTCATTATAAGATATGAGCATGTCATGAGGCAGATTTCAAAATAATAATTCAGTAATTCCAAAGAGTTTATTTTCCTTTTTCAGCCAAGTAACATAAACAGCAAAACCAGTTTCATTTCAAGAAAAGAAAAAATGCTGAGATGAAAAAGATGTTGATACTCCTTAAAATTTATTTTCTTAGTAGTGTAGGATATGGTGGGAAATATCAACTTTCTTGTTAAAATTATCTGTTTGTCTAAGGAACAAGACTGCCAGAAAGACAACATTGCTGTTAATATGTCTTACTTCATCACTTCAGCAAGTCCAAAATCATAAATACAGATAAATAGGAATGTAACGTTATTTCCTAATACATTTTGCATACACTGATTACTGATGACATCATACAAATTTCTTCTATATGTAATGTTATTCAGAACTGATATTGATTAAGACTCTTATTAAAAGAGTGATATAGAGAGATATCAAGAAAAAACAGTCTGCAGTGATAACATAAGTGCAATATCTGATGGAACTGTAGGGAAGATGACTGCTCAGAGTCAGTCTGCTGAGACTACAAAGAAGAGCTTCTTCAGATCCAGCTAAAATACACATTGTTCTTACTGACTTTGCTAATTATTTGAATGTTCTGGCTAGGTGAATAAATCAATGGAAATAAGTTTTGGAAAGTTCAGACTACGTTAAATGAAAAACTGCTTCTCTCAATATCTCTGAAGTTGAAGTCAATGTATTAATATGTATTTCGATTCCCAGCTTCATTAATCACTTGCTCAGTGCCAGGAAGAGATAACTTGTTACATTAAGGTCAAATTGTGTACAAGCCTCGAGTCTTTTTCCCCTTTGCTCAGTTTGCACAAAGCCCAGGCAGAGCCATGCACAAGACAATATGTCCAGCCCCTTTTGGTGGCTATTGATGGAGAAAAAAGAATCTTTTAAAATAAGGTACAACCAACCCTCAATCTCTCCCATTCTGCTGCATTTCATAGAAATGGCTGAGTGAATTGGGATAGTCTTAGGGAAAAGTAAAAATTACTCTATAGATCTGGAGCATTATATTTCAGTTACTTTCCAAACTATGACAGAAACCCAGAAGAACTTAAATGTGAGGGAGTTAACTTCAGTAGACTGTTTGGATAGGTGCATTGTACAGATAATGGTCAAAATATTTTTTTTTCCTGTGTACATGTATGTACAGATGTAGTAATTCACCTGCCATGATAAAAAATTCTGACATATAAATATTTATAGATTTTTCTTCTTTCCATTATACACAGATTTAGACAGTGCTAATTTGTTTTGCAACAAGTTTCAGATTTGAATTAGTTAATATGCAGCAGGAGCTGAACTTAAGCTGCTTACTGAGTTTTGTACAGAATGGATTTCTAAATATGAATAGTTAAATACAAAGCAAGGTGAGAGCTTCTAGCAACTTTTCAGTAGTTTAGATAGTAGGAGCTCAGCTAGCTCTAGTTTTTGAGTCAGGGAAGGAAATAAAAGACTATTTTAGCAGATTTTTTTATTGCTTTCTCTTCTTTACCTTGCCACCTGCTTTCTCTGTGTGCTGCCAGACATGCTTTTGAAGCCTTTTGATTGGTAAACTGTCTATATTTCATCTGTGAATGGCTGGATTGGTAGCAGCTGGTTACATGGAACCATTTTAAGATCTAATTAATTAGTCTGAGCAGGTGTCAGGTACCGAACACAGTGGGATTTTTTTTAGCTCTGAACATTAAAAACAGAGCTCCTAGGTCACATTTTATAATTGCCCCTGGAATACATATGTCAAAAATAAATGCAATTTATTCATGATTAACACAAAAAAAACCCCACCACATATCAGTGCCTGGTTTTACTTTTTTACCTTTCTTCATACGTAGCTTTGCATAGTACCATTGTTTTTAAATAGGTCAGATTCCAGTGGAGTTTTATTATTGTTGTTAAAAAGTGATAAATGCGTATCATGTATAATAATTTATCTTCTAGATAACACAGCTGGAATTTTCACAGCAAAAAGTGGCTTCAGGAGGAAGGAGCAGTTTTCTTTCTACTTGCCCATCTTAATTCTGGATAATGGAACCCCACCACTGACGAGCACAAATACTCTCACCATCACTGTCTGCGACTGTGACACCAAAGTTAACACCTTCTACTGTCGATATGGAGCTTTCATGCATTCCATAGGTCTCAGCACAGAAGCTTTAGTTGCTGTTCTGGCTTGCATACTAATACTCCTAGGTAAGTATGAGTAAGAGAAATGACTTTGTTTCCTTTTACGGCCAGCTTGATTAAATGACAAAGATGTTCACTTCACTGGAAGAGTGGAAGTAATGTGCTACTGAGAAAAATTACAATAGGGCAAATGTTTCATTTCTTTTCTGTTTTCTTAACTATATTTTCCCCTTTACCCCCAGTTTTCAGTATATTTTGAATTCTATCATAATGTCCTAAAAGCTAACTCTAGTTGAGTCATGGTCCTACTTACTCCTCTGGCATTGATAATAATAGAGATTTGGGAGTCTAAAGCCTGTATTGATCCCAGTTATATCTGAAGACAGCATTAAACAAGAAAAGTGGCTATTATAAGAATATATTAAAAGTAGCAACACCTTACTCATTCTGCCTTAGGTATGTCAAATGTAGAGCTAAGATCAATAAAAAATAATAAAAGAAAAAGAGAATCTGGTACTCTAAGAAAGCAACTCCAGAAACAAACAGGGAGTTTCTCTGTCAATTGATAAAGTTGTATCTCCAGACAGCCTTTTCTCCAAATGTTGGACATTTCATATTTCCTCTTAGGAGACACCAAATTAACCTCCATTACATTTAGGAGCTTGTGGATGTGAAAAGTGGGTTTGAGAGTGTTATAAATGCACAGGATTTGTGCTTATACCTCTGCAAAGGGTCATGCATAGCTGGCAAATGGCACTTAAAACCAGAGCAATCACCCAAGGCTGGCCGTTCCTGCACTGAACAGGACTATGACTGCTGCAAGACAGGCTGGAGTGACAGCACTCAGGGAAACAGTTTCTTCACCTGGTGAAGCACGCAGCTATTGCTGCTACAGTGCATTGGCCTTTTTTCAGCAAAAGGATACTCGTGCAGTGTTCAATGAGTGATTTGATGACACTGACACATTATAACAGCAGGCACACTGCTCTAATCATTCCCTCAAGGTTAAATATCCATCCCGAAACTTTGTACCTGTCTGAGTTACTGACTAACTGACTAGTGGCTAAGGTGTAGTAGTTTCTGAGGCCAGGAAAGATAGAGAAGTGATAGACATGGGTAGGTTTGTTTTCCAAGGCAAGATGTCTGACCTTGGAGCTTGGTCACTGATGATGATCATGGACCTCAAAACCAAATTCATACTGATGCCAATAAAGCAACAGGGAAAGACTTCCAAATCCCTGTTGCCTGTGCAATAATATGGCATATCCATATTATGCCATATAGCATTATATTTCATAAAATTTAATCTCCAAAAATGCCACAAAACAATCAATGGATTATGTTAGTAAAACCATGTTTCCACTAATGAAACTACAAACAAACAACTCCAAAGTAAGAAAATGAAGATATAATCAGGATTTAACTAAGCAGTGTGATATCGAATCATCTTTATAAATTGTGCAAACTCAGCATAAATTGTTTTTCAATAAAATTCTAAAAAAAAGTAAAAAAATAGTCAGAATCAAAAGAAGAAAACTGCAGCATAATATCTAGCTACACAAATATAAGGTTCAGAAAGAAAGAAGTAATAATAACAGAAATTACATTGCCTTAAGAAACAAAAACTTTCAGTGAAAATTATTCTTTCAATGCATTTGTTAATGAGAGCAAGTACAATAGTCATATTGCTAAACTCCTATATCACTGAAAGAAATACACACGATTTTAAGTAAACCTTTTTTTCACCAGATGAAGGATATCTAGGTAAAGAACATTCTTTTTTTTCTATCCTCATTATACAATATGACCTCTGCTTGTCTATAAATAACAGCATGCAACTCTAAACATATGATTAACTACAAGAAAGCTGAGGCTTGAAAATGAAGGCTTCCAGCTCTGTTCTGATGCTATATTTTGATCTACCATAGTAGTGACAGAAGACAAGACAAGTCCAATAAAGCTAATGGAATTATTTTGACTTTCCATCAGTGAATAAAGAAATTTAACCAGTCAGAAATCTGCCATATTCTACATTCTGTCCACAAGGTTATGGATTATTTTCTTAGCATAAGGAACAGAAACTGGTTCTAATTATTTCCTGTTGTATCTTTGACCTTTTGACTGAATCTCTTGGTGAGAATTCATTGAAATTTCTCCTAAAAATGGAACCTTATAATCTAGACCCACAGTTAAATGAGTTGCCCAGAAGCAGCAGGTTAATTACAAGTCAGCATCTTCACATGACTTCGAACTCTCAAGATCAGGTGACACGCAGGAAAATACAGAAACAGAATAGCCTACAAGAAAAATACGTTTTTTTATCTATCCCTATGAACACATTGAATAGATAGGGCAAGGATGACAACAGTAGAAGGGTACCTCATAATTATTATGTCTAGACGGGAGTAGTCCTGGCCAGACACTAGCCATTTCTTGACTCCATAGCAAAGTCCAGAGAATGCACTAGTTCACCTACCAGTGTCTCCTGGTTTCCAACAGAGAAAACAGAAAGATGCAATTGAATTTGTAGTTTCTAGACTTGTCTGTGTTTCCAGAGTCACCTTATTTAAATCTGAGCTTTCCTTGTCCCAGACGATCTTCTGTAGAGCCACTGGAAAGCAGACCTCCTCATTGGAGTCCTTGCCTTACACCTTGCAGTCAGTGTTATCTTACAGGCAAGCCAGCGTGTATTTCAAGTTTTCTTTGATTTTTTCAGCATATCTGAACCTGGTCACTTTGTGTTACGCACTCTAGGGACTGAGAATCAGGCAAAATATATCGCTGCATTATCCAGGCCAGCAGTGCAATTATTCATCACAGGCTGCTTTGGCTGTTTGCAGAGAGGTCCACTCTCCAGATGGAATAAATCCTTGGTGTCTACTGGGCCTATGTATATCAAAAAAGTCAAAGCAGGGATACAGATAAATATATTAATCAGAAAGAAAAATAAACTAATCTACCACACTCTTTACAGACACACATATTTTACATGCATTAAATCTTTCAATATATTTTTATGATTAATTGAAATGAAATAATAAAAGATTTTATACATAATACGTTTGCCACTTACATGTGAAACCTAAAGTTTCACTTTTTTCCATTTTCCACTATCATCATGTGTACCATTAGAAAAGCTAACCATGCAAAGTGTTTGAAGAGTTAAAACTATCTAGGTTTTGCAAATTTATAATAACATTATAGAAATTCTTGTTTCCCGTGTTTTAAATTTCGGTGTTGGTATCTCCCAATCAAATGAAATAGCGTAAAGTAAATATGTGGAAATAAAGAACTACTTCAGGTCCCTTGTAGACTTAAGAGAGCAAAATTCTGTCATTTTTGATAGTTGTATCATGTTATGTACTGAGTAAAAAAAATTACAGTTCACAAACTACTTATTAAATAGAACTGCAGTAAGATTTAGTTAAAAACTGAAGTCATTAATCTCTGTGAAAATCATAGACTATTTCAAAAGCATCATTCAGCTAAAAATAAAATGAGGTAGGATTAAAACATAATGCTTTAAAATAAAATTCAGAAAAGCTTTCATATATGAAAGAAATAAGCTACTCTGGCCTTGGTAGTAAGTACACCATCACTGAAAATTTAGTGATACTCTTCAAATTTCCAAATCAACATAACAGAAATATTTGAACTACGACCCACATAGTCTATGGAACTGAATGATTCAGCCAGCTGAGGAGGATATCTTGCTCATTGCCTCATGTTTCATTTGATGTTCCTTGGGCTTTGATCTTAGAGAGAGTAAGGGATTAAGAATTTAAATTGTGAATGTGAAATTGATATATTATGTGATAAAACAAAGCAGTTTCAAAAAGCATAACCTGTGTTTCCGTCACTTTCAAGCTCCCATCTACCAAAGAATTGTTCCATTTCAGTCATCTATTTTATGAGTACCTTTGTAGCTATTTTCCCACCACATACTATGCTCATCTCAAAATTATAAAATCCATATCAATTATAGCTCTATAAATATGTTAAGATAGCTTCACTTTGCAGTAGCATTGATATTAAGAAACGTTATCATTTTTTAAGTCTTTCCAAGAACTTTCAAAGTCTCTTGTTTATTTTTTTCCTTTTTTTTTTTTTTTTCTCTTTTCTTTTTTTTGGTCAGTGTTCTTTTTGGCAATTGTAGCCATAAGGCAACAGAGGAAGAAGTCTCCCTTTTCAGAGAAAATTGAAGAATTCAGAGAGAACATTGTCAGGTATGACGATGAAGGAGGTGGTGAGGAGGACACAGAAGCCTTTGATATTTCAGCACTGAGGACCCGCACTGTCCCGCGAACTCACAAACCACGGAAGAAGGTCACCACAGAAATCCACAGCCTCTACAGACAGTCTCTGCAGGTTGGCCCTGACAGCGCAATCTTCAGGCAATTCATTTCAGAAAAGCTTGAAGAAGCGAATACAGATCCTACTGCTCCTCCGTATGACTCACTTCAGACCTATGCATTTGAGGGGACTGGCTCTTTGGCAGGATCCCTCAGCTCTTTAGGTTCTAACATGTCAGACTTGGATCAGAGTTATGACTACCTTAAAGACTGGGGACCTCACTTTAAACAGCTTGCAGGCATGTACACTTCCCATACAAGTATGGGGGATTAGTTACACTTTGGCTTGTCATTTTATTTTCCTAAATCTCAGCAACCAAAAACAAGTGTGGATTTTTAAAAATAAGATCATCCCACATTTAGGCATGAAAAATAAAAGCCTCAGGGTTTTTTTTATGGTTGCTTTGGTTTACGGTTTGTTATTGTTGTTGTTGTTGTTTTCTGGAAAGTCCTATATGTAGGAAACTTTGGAAAAACCACACCAGGCGTGTCATGAGGTGTGGGGATGGAGACCCTCATTTGAAAATCTAGTGGCTACTTACATGCTTAAATGCAGACTGTGTTGCTGTAGATATATAAGCCCCATTCTGGATACTGAAAACCTGGGTCCTGCAAATACAAAAAGAGGAGCAGAAGCCATAAATGGATATTGCAAATATTCTGTCATCCATAAGCTTTAAACTATTTCCAAAGTTAAGACAGACTTTTGCTGTTGCAGTTGAATATATTCATTAACCAAAGTAAAACATGCATATTTAAGTAATGCTTCATTATATAAATATACTTTTGTAAAAAGTAGACCCTAGATTTTCTAATACAATTGTCAGGAGTGCTCACAGAATCATCTATTTATTGTTCTTAAGATGATAAAATTACAACAAATGTCTTTTCCTATCAGTGTAAAAATATGTCCTATGACAATGTCAGCAAGTGTTTGCTGCCATTTTAGTTTTTAATGGAGTTATTGGAAAATGGATAAACCAATATTTAATTAGCAAATAAGATAGAAAAAAAGAAAGCAGTTCAAGTCAGAATCGATATCCAATGTAAATACTGCAATCGACCGCATTTTATATTAATGTACTTAGAAAAAATACTATCCAAATACAAGCATTTTTCCTTTTATTAAGAGTTTAAAGGATGACTGATTTACCAGCACAGATTTATTTTTTTATTATGGAACATAAAATTATCTGTAGTAGTCAGTTTTATTATAACAATATTAAGAATCTTTAAAATGCTGAGCTGAAGGCTATAAAACTTTATGTATAACATTAGATAATAAGATAATAAAATGCTTTAATGTTAATCCACTTCTGAAAATGATCCTGAATCATTCTGTGAGACTGACATCAGACTTCCAATTAATTTTCCACTGTGTTTTTTCCAAACATTCCATAATTAATATAAAGTTGTCTCAGAATATTTCTTTACTCTTACTTATACTGCTACCCTCTCTCCCATCAGGTACTTATTTTACAAAAATTACATCATATAATCACCTGATACACGTTAAAAGCTGGCAGCAGAATAAAGAAAATTTTGCAACAAGTTTTTGGGGCTTTTTTCAATAGAATTTTAGGTACGCTCTACTCAATTACAGAGAGCTTATGCAATGGAAAGCCAACCTACCAAAGAAAAAAACAACAAACAAACAAAAAAGGCATGCAACATACAAGCTCTGCAATGTTTGCTACAATTACTGTTCACTGAAGAAAACCAAGGCATGTAGGCTTAGTGGAAAGGTGCCAGTGTAGAGTTTAAATTCCTGTCAGCTAAAAATAAAACATGTGGAGGAGTTTGAAAATAAGGAGAGATTTCCAGTGTGAGGTCTGGTAAGGGCAGAAACATTATTCATGATATTCATAGCTGGAAAAATATGAGGGAGGTCATCTGACCAGGTGCAGATGAAGCAGCATCTGCTTCATAAGCAAAAAACTGATGCTTGCCAGTTTCATGCTAGGACACCAGTATGAATAAACAGCTACAAAACAGCTTTAAAAGATAACACAAGTCAAAACATTGTAATTTTCTTCATGGGGAGGAATTGCAAAAGAGAGAACAACTATATGTGCATTGGTTGCTGAAGATCGTGAAAAGTACATTTTTAGGATTAGATCTATAGATTTATGCAGGTTATACCCTAAACGAATCCTTATTCCACAGATGGTTCCGGTGGCATTAATAGAATTCCTCGTGCTTTCAGGTTGTTTTTAATACAAAAATGATGACAGTCTCTGATCCTTTCGCAGTCCAGAGATTTGTCCATTTATATGGGGAAACAGCCTTGAACACTGAAACATATTTGCACTTATATTATAACTTCCTCTTTTTACTGTAAGGAACTTTAACAATAAATAATTTTTGTAACCAGTGCATACCACTGTCATGTAATTTTTGTCACCAATATATGCCATTGTCATTAACTTCTGTATGAAAGAGTAATAGCCTGCAATGGATCTTAAATGATCGTTAGCTGAAAAGGTATAAGATTATGCTTGCACATCAGAGAAAGTGAGTGTTTTGCTCTGAAGTGAGAAGGTATTTCTAGCTGTTACTGGGCCACATCTTATTAGGTTCCTGGTATTCAATCTAAGTCAAACCTGTCAATTTATTTCCACATGTGAGAAAAGTATCGTTGAACTGACCTAGTAACTTCACACTTCTACTATGCTGTACTTAATTTAGCCGAACAATGTCTGCAAAAAGGTTTTGTAGAAGTGTCTGCTTCTTTGAAGAAACTAAACATTTTGAGGAAACCAAAATTAAACACAAAAGAGATCTAATAATAATTAGTAGTATGAAATCAATAAAGGATAAGCCAGAGTTCCTGATGATGAGATCTATTAAACTGTGGAATGGTTTCCCCAAGAGAATCGTCTATTACCTTTATCTTTCAAAGTGTGTTAGTAGTTAGAAATAGCTATGCTATTGGCTGAAGAGTGCAAATATGGTACCAGATTGTAAATATATATTTAGCTGTTCATGATCTGCCTGAGACAATATAAGGAAGATATTGACTGGTCAAAGGAAGTATGATCAAACACACTGTTTTTCTGTATGAATACCCTGAAGAGATGTTCCTGTATATTTCTTTTTCTGTAACATGGTAATGAGACAGGTTAAGAACTAGTGAAATGCCTGACAAAAGATTAGCTTCTTGTTCGAGTCCTCGCTTATAAGTATTCAGTGTTGTGTTATTGGTTTCGCTATTTAAAAGCCAAGAAAATGAAGACTATGCATATATTGATAAATGCTTAACATTCAGATGTTTAAAGTTAAAAGAAAAAGAACAAAATCATCTGAGAGTATATTGAACCTTCAGACTCGTTGTGACTGGGAAAGGGTATTTTATTTATGAATTCACCCAAAATAAAATGTTTTCATTTGATTTTCATTTTGTATATCACAGTGTAGGTTTTTTATTATCATAACACTGAGAAGAAATCCTGCTTGCCACTGAGGATAATCTTAGTCTTTAATTCACATAATTTTCCTACTGCATTTTCTCTTAGACACTGTCATTACACTCCTAGCTTTGCTTTTGAAATTTACATTGGAAATGTGGTTGTTTTAACACTCATTCTTAACTGTATGGGGTAACCCTGTCAGTTGAGAGTATAATATTTTTGAAAAGACAGTGTACATTTTATGCTTCAAAGTCAGATCTAATATATGCTCTCTTGAGAAGTAGAAGTTGAAGGAGATTATGTGATTTTACATTCTAGCAAGGAATACATTTTACCAAATAAAATAGAATTTATATGAAAAAAATCAGTAACCATTAGTAAAATCTGTAAAATTTCTCTACCAGAAAATTGATAAACTTTTATTTTATAAAGAAAAATAAAGTGGATTAATATTTATTAAAAAAGTTAACGTGTTTTACAACAGTAATTTGTATGCTCTCATATTTATTCAGGAAAAAAAACATTCTTTATATATAGGTCTATATCAGCCTTATGTCTCATATACAGAGTCCAAGGAACAGTAAAGTTTAACTATAGTGCACAGCAGGATAAAGCATACATACAGAGAGACTTCTTAGATCAGCATGAAATATTTTATCCCCAACAAATAGATAATAGCAGTAGTCTGAAATATGGGTAAGACTCAAGAGGATATCTGCCAGCAAAGGACATTAGATATATGGCACTAAGAGCAAATATTAATAAATACCATCAGAAACCATCACTACTTCAAAAAACTCTCCAATACCAGAAACCAGAACAGGATATCAATAGTTTTTAATTCCCCAAACATTTTAACTGTGATTTAGGTAATGCTTTAATAATATTAAAGTTTATAATTTAAACAATACACCACATGTGGAAGTTGAAACAGAATTGGTTTGTAAAGAAACAATAACATCTGCATGCATATATCTGACCAAAAGGATGCAACAGAAGTTATTGGATTGAAGCTTAAAATGATGCAAACCTACCCACAGATATATGATGCATCCCTTCCGACATTGTCATGAGTAAATTAATCTCTGCCATCACAAATTCCTCTGAAAAGAGACTTTACAAAGGGTATCTTGAACAACCTTTTTGCTAGTTTAAGAGCTGAAATAAAGATTTTTTATATATTGATTCTGTATGCTGGTCTTACAAATATAAAAAAAACATCCCTCCATTATTAATAGTGAGGATACTTGAGATATAAGCAAGAACTGGATGGCCTTGAAGACTGCAGAATAGAAAATGGATAAAATGTAACAGCAAAAATAAAGATGGTCCACTCTGGAAATAGTACTCAAAAAAACATCCGCTATGATACTGGGCATTTACCCAGTAGAGTAATTAAACAGGACAAGGATATTCTAGCTGTTAAAATAACCATGAACTGCCAACAAGATTCAACCCAGAATATTAAAAAAAAATCAAATATGAACCAAAGCTGTACTAGAAAATATAATAGACAAAAGAAAATGTTGACCATGAAATTAGGTTGAGATTAGATTACCTGTTCAACTACTTGACAGCTTACTCTCTTTTGTCAGACTGACCAGCCACACTAGTATTGTTTCTGAGAGTCACACGTTCATTTAAACAGTAATCCAAAGGTAGTTCCAATATTAATTATTATTAAAGCATTTGCATAGGACAAAATCTTATTAACAATTGATTATTTATTCTGTACCTATAAACTCTTTGGCAAGGCCAGACGAAGTGTCCAACAGATGTAAATTAATTGATAAAGTAAGTTATCCTTAAACATCTGTTTCCATAATTTCAACAGTCAAATTCAATATGCACACGTTTCATTATATATTCAGCACACGTCATTTCATTGGTAGCAAATGCCAATTTACTTACATCACTTATGAATTCCAAATATCATTACAATTACTTTACAAATATTTTGTGAGAATTCTTA